TAGATTTCTATCTGTCATCTCTGCCTCTGCCTGCAACACCCACTCCCTTTCTTTTATGAGGAGAAATCCTCCTGGTCCTTAAAGACCTCACTAAAATCTCCATGATGTAGCTGGAACTACATACATGTACCACCACGTCCAGAAATTTTTTTTTCCTATTGTAAGGATGAGGTCTCACCAAGTTGCCCAGGCTGTTCTGCTGTACCACTTTTGTGATAGATGCTTCATGTTTCGTCGTTGACTTGGAGTCCCTATGACTTCTGCAAGGAGGACCATATGTATGAGGGGTTCCTTAGGAACCCACAGGGAGATAGAAGGAAGCAAATGGTGCCTGCAACTTTGTGATGTTTCTGCTCCAAAGAACCCCAAAGAAACACTAGGAAGTGAAGGTTGGAGACAAAGGTCAGTTTCATGGTGTTTTCCTAGCAGCTCCTGAGGAGAGAATTAACAGGCAGGTTAACAGAGAAAGCAGCTCGGGCCATGCCCTCTGGACTGGAGGGAAGCAAGATTAGCTGATGAAGTATATGCAGGGCCGGGGCTGAGCTAAGCCTTTCACAAGTGATGTGCACGTCCTGATAGGGCGCTGTGATCCCATGTCCATCTTAGCAAAGAGATTCATTGGCTTGCTCCACAACCAGCTTCACAGTGCCCATTTGTAGGAGAGCTTTTGGTTTAAAGCAGACAGATCACATCCAAGATCTTGATCAGCTACTTAAACCTTACGTGCCTCAGTTTCTTCAAGGTCATATGGACAAAATAATAGCCCCCACCACCCAGGGCATCTTGACGATGACAGGACATGACTGTGTGCTCGTCATGCTCCCTGGGCTGGTGCCTGGCAGGGGCTCTATAAAAACCCACTACTCCTCCACAGCCCACTTCTCTGTCCTTAAGCGCCCCTACTTGTGTCCTGATCCCTCTACTCTGGTGTCCAAGAGCACCAAGGAGAGCCCTGCTGCCTTGAAACCCCCAGGACATTCCCACTGCTTGGTGTTAGCTTTTCAGCAAAATGGAATGTGCATTTTCCTGACTCTTTCATTCTAGATAAGCTGCTGGCATCACACTGATTCCTCTTTCTTTCAGTGTGACCCTAAGGGTGGCTGCCAAGGACCATGTCTGTGCTAAGGGAACCCATGTCCCAGACTTAGCAGAAACAGCTCAGCTTGAGTCAGTGTTGCCCTAGGACCAATCAGCTGTGGAAGGGGTGGGGTCACAAAACAACCTGGCGGGTCTCTTGGGGCCCCCATCTTTGGAGGAGAGGGTATCTAGCAATGGTAGACTGGGCTGACAATATGTTCACTATACACAAAGATAAGCACAATGACAAAAAAAATCACCTAATATTCTATTAGCCAGTAGACAGTGACTGTAAATACTACTGTGTAGTATTTTCTAACTTTTCTCCTTGCAACTTCATCTGTTAAAATAAATGGGATTATGATATATACATAGATTCTGCATGTATATTCTACTTTGAGATGTGCTTCCTGCCAGCCTTCCTGTAGCTTGAAAATGTAGACACTTTAACTCAGGGTCTGTGAGGATACTGGGGTCCAGTGTTTGGAGGGTGAGTGTGTAAACCAGTAGTTTGCATTAGTTCATGCCTACCATCCTTCAGTCCAGTCTCTCCTCTTCTATCCAGCCTTCCTAGTGGCCCTTTTCTCAGACCCTTGTTTGGTGCTTGGTGCCATGGCTTCAATTGTCGGGCCAAAGTGTAGGTAGCTAACCACAAAATGTCCATCCCCAGCTCTGCACACAGGATTAAGTGTTTGGTAAATATCCAGTCTTTCTTTTCTCTCTCCCTTCCTCCATCCTCCTTTTCTTCCTTCCCTCTCTCACTCCAGTGCTCATTTCTTCTCAGAGAAGAGAACCAGTAGAGGGGCAAGCAGCAGCCCGTGGGACCTGCCTAGGAGATCCCCTTCTTGACCTGGGTCTCCCCTTCAGCTATACCCACCTGGGTGCTTTTGGCACAATGCTTCCCATGAACTCTTGGCGCTGCAACCAGGAACTCCTGGCAGGCCACAGGCAAGAGCTGGCAGAGTCTTTGTGTTGTCAGAGCCCTGAACACTTTCCCATCTCTACTTGTACTCATTAGATTCCGGGCCAATGAAGAAAAGGGACTTGAAGCTCTGGGTCTTAGTTCTAATCTCTGGCTCCCTGCTGGGCTGGCTTGGGCTCTCCTTGGACCCTGTGCATCTCGCTCCTGCCCCAGCCCCCCTGCCCACTGATGACCTGCCTAGGGGATGGAGTGGAACAGGCACCGAGATGATCAGTGGAAGGCTGAGAGGTGGGGGATGGAAGGTCAGGGTTGGATTGGGCAAATTTTTTTGGCTGTGGGATCTAGTGTGACTGGGCTTCAGGAACCTACATTTTAAACTGTGCCTCTGGCCCCATTGCCCTGGTGACATTTGTGGAGTTTCTTCCTCCTCAAAGCCTCAAGCTTTCTTTCTGTATAGCAAGGGGTCAGCCTGCTCCAGGTTTTCTAAGATTTTTGATGCTCTGACACCAGGTCCCATCCCTTTACCTCCCTCAGCCACCATGGCATCTACCAGGAGCAGTCTCCCTGCAGAAAGGGATTACCCAAGAAAGAGTTCCAAGGCAGCCCCTGCCTTTCCTCTTCTCAGCTCTCATGACTTTGATTTCCTAGGGTAAGTCCAGGGCTCCCCAACACCAGGTGCTGTGGAGAACTGTTTCTGCCACACCATCAGTGGATCTGTTTGAGTCCTGACTATGTGCCCTCTATCAAGTCAGAAATCTCTCCAAGCCTCAGTTTTCTCACCCATACAATGGAAATACTGGTGTTGATTACAATGGGTTATTTTGAGGGCTCAATGCAATAAAGCAGATGAAGTCCTAACACAGTGCCTGTCACATAGTAAACCCATGATGCAGGCTTTTATCATATCATCATCATCCTCACTATTGTTATTGTTATTTATTATCTCCGCTTTCTCACTCCAGGGAAGGAGTGATCCCAGGGTCTGAGTGGGCAGCTATGCAGATGGCTGGCTTCCCCTGGCTTGAGCCCTATGCATGCATACCTGGGGAGGGGACTCATAACTAGATCCCCAGCGTGGATGCACAAACCCTCCAACATGCACTCTACTGGGACCCCAGAAAATCAGTGCATTTGTGGGCCACTGTGAGAATAAAAAGGTCCCACCCGCAGCACTTGGCCCCAGTCCCGCCCACAGCCTTCAGTGAATCATAGCCGATAGCACCACAGTTTCTGTGGCTAGCATTGGCCACATCTGAGGTTGTACTGCAACATGATGAGGTGCAGGAGTCAGACAAAAATTGGGCATGGGCTTCAGGCATATCTCTCAACCACTCTGATTCTCAATTTTTCTCATTTGTGTTATGATCCTAGTAACTACCATCTTCACAGCATGTTGGAAGGATTAAATGATCATAGCACAGTTGGGAGGTTTGCATGATCTGTTGCCTGGGATACACTGAGTCCACATTGTGTGCTTAATACAGATAGGTTCCTCTCATGTGCCTAACTCACCTCCATAGACTTCTTTCCTTTCCCCAGAGGAGTCTCCATGCTAGGGTGGTCTCCATGTCGGGGTCTCACTCTGTTGCCCAGGCTGGAGTACAGTGGTACAATCACGGTTCACCCCTGCCTCGACCTCCTGGGCTCAGGTGATACTTCTGCCTCAGCCTCCTGAGTAACTGGGACTAAAGGCTCATGGCACCACTCCTGGCTAGTTTTTTTTTTTTTAGAGATGAAGACTGGTTGTGTTGCCTAGGCTAGAAGAAAGAGTCTTGACAGACTTTCTTTCTCTACCTCCTGTCCCAAAAGCCTTCAGCTCCAGGCTACTCTTGGCCCTGTATTCAATAGATCAGGCAGCTGAGAAACAGAAAAATGTGCAAGAAAGTCACACACTTCTGCACAAAGTATGCAATTTTTTTATTAAAAAGAAAATAAGAAAACAAACAACATTTCTCAGGTTGTGCTGTGATAAAACACCACAGGCATATAAACTATGTACAAAAACTAAGAAAGAGAAATCCTAGGGTCTGCACACAGAGACTCCCTGTAAGGGTGGGCCTGCAGTCCCTCCTTTGAGGCCACTGTTTTCTCAAACATCCACCTCTCCTATAAAATAAGAAGTGCGTCCCAGCCTTATTTCTCTTGGAAGACTCGGCGGTCTCCAGCTCACTGGTCCATGAACGTGCACACAGGAAACTAGACGTTACAAGATTTTACAGAGGGGTAGTACTGGGGTGGGGACTTAGGGGTGCACACCACTCCTCTCCCTGATCCCTGGCTCTGCTGGAGGTCTCTGGGAGGCTGAGGAAGCAGTGACATCCTTCCATGGGGACCCACTGACATGTGCTGGATGTGTTGTCCTGCAGGAACATGGGGCTGAACTTCCTGAATTAAGCCCGTTGGTGGCTTCCCTCCTTGAGGGAAGTTGGGACAAGAAGACTTGGACCAGGACAAGATGTGCCTGAACTGGTGCTGAATTTTGGACAGCCAGAAGGCAATGGGGAGATCTTGATATATTTGCCATAATGTCATTCCTTGGCTGCTTACCCTGCCTCCAATCTTTGGAAGTCATGTAGAGCTGGATTTGACTCCTAGCTCTGCCATTTACTGGTTTGTATGAACCTGGAAAAGTTGCTTAACTTCCTTGAACCTCAGTTTCCTCATCTGTTAAATGAGGAGGCTTATATGAACCTCAAAGGGCAACTGTAAATAGTAAGTGCCTAGTACGGTGCCTGGCACATCATAAGTGATCAATACACGGTCACCATGACTGCTGGTACCCAGGTACCAGTGTTTCCATCGAAAAGTTGATGAGTCTATGTGGATGTACATGTGATAAACAGAGGGTCTGAACAATGTTCTAGAAAGAGGAAGGATTCCCCAGAGGCTCCTGTGTTGTGTCTGGACAGCACAGACGTCATGGGTCACAAGCGGCTGGCATGGAGCATGTCCACTGTTTTTCTCTCAGGCACATCCCTCTGGTTCAGGAGCGTCTCTGTTCCTAGACCTCGGTGCCCTCCCTAGGGTAGAGGACGCTGCTGGTGTTGATGCTATTGTAGAAGTGAGGGCTGAACTGGTTGAGGACAGAGCCCCCGTAGCCGAGTGTGTTGGTGGGCATGGGGTTGGCCCAGTCACCCCCGGCCCCATGGCCGCCGAGGTTGGTGAGTGGCGTGAAGGAACTGAAGCCCAGGGAGTTCTGTCCCATCTTGTCGGCGGGCTCGGGGCTCAATCCTGTCGTGGCCCCAGGTCGACTCATGGGGCTGGCCCCACTCATGTAGGTGGTCATAGTGGAGAGGAAGCTATTGAGGCACGGCGTACCCGAGGGCAACGGGGAGGACCGCTTTTCCGGGGAGCCCGCGGTGCCTGGCGAGGCACTGTCCAAGATGTCCTGGGGCTCTGTGGTCTTGGGGCTGCCTACCATGAGACTGTTCTCTGTCTTCTCTGAGGGCAAGGGGCCTGTGCTGGAGGAAACATCTGATTTTCTCTTCCTTTTCCGACGGAAATTTCCATTATCGAACATCTTCTCACAATTGGGGTCCAAGGTCCAGTAATTCCCTTTGCCTGATACAAAAGTGAAAGGGGGTGAGTAGAGAGATTGAGTCAATGTGTTGCTTCTGTTCCCCTTATTGTCATAAACGAAAGAAAAAAGTGGCCAATGCAGAAAGAGCAAGGACAAAAGGCAGAGCTGAGGAAGGAGGAATTCCACCAACCACACCACACCCACTTTATTTAAGCCCCCCTCCACAGAGTCCTCTGGAATCACAGAAATGGAGAGGCAGAGGCATGAAGAAATTTACAGTGTGGGTCTTTAAAAAGGGTGAAGTATTGGGGGCAGGGAGGCTGGGGTTGGGGGATAGAGTACTTCCGTTGCTGAAGAAAACTCAGGAAAAAATTCAGGACACGCTGATAGTCCTACTCTGGCTTTGCTCCTAACTGACAGAGGGACTTCAGGTGAACTGTTTCCTGATCTGAAAAGTGGGCCCGTTGTACTTGTTCCTTTGTCTCCAGGCTCACTGTGAGAAAGCACAGACAGATGTGCTTTATAGCTGGGGTGTGCCATCCTGAAGCCAGGTCTGAGCTCTTCCTGCTACTGCCTCTCGGTCTGAGGGGGAGGGCAGTCCTCAGATGGGACACTTGCCCTCTTCTGGGGACAGATAGGCTTGGCCCTTGCTAACCTCAAAGGGGGCAGCGGTGGGGTTCCTCTGAGCCATACCCTGGCTTCCTGTGGTAGAATAAAAATGGACTTCAATTCTAGGAAATGGATATATAAATATTTGGTACACTTTTCTCTGTAGGTTTCTATATTTTAGAAATGCATCCTTCAAAAGGAAAAGTTCACAATCCCTGGAGTCAGAGAGACATCTGTTCAAATTCAAACTCTGTCAATATCACTTTAGATAATGTCACCTTAGATGAGCAGGCTGTTTCACCTGAGTGTTATTTTCCTTATCCGCAGAATGGGTTTAATAAGAGCTACCCTGCAGGGTTGTTGTAGGGGCCATGTAAGTAGAAATAGGACAGGCAGCAAAATGGGCCATTCGTGGTTGTTTAAAGTCAGATCCTCTTCCCAGCAGACTTGGGATGTACTTGGTCTCTGTTTGGTCCAATCATTCATTCCAAAGACTTTCCATGTACTGGGTGTCAAGACTACAGATGAATCATAGATTATTGCAGTCCATGAACCACATGTGAACCCCAACGACTTTACATACATGATCTCATCACCCCCACCACAGCCTGCCATGTAGGCACTGTGATCATCCTTGTCTTTCAGATGAGAAAACTGAGCCTCTGAGTCCTAACCTGAGGTCACCGACCGGTCAGCAGCACAGCCAGCCATGACTGAACCCCTGGCCCATATCCTCCTCGACTGCAGTGCTCCCCTCAGCCCTGCCTCAAAGCTGCTCCCAGTTTTGAGGGACATCACCCTACTAAGAACGTTCTAGAATGGGGTTTTGGGGAGGAACTCCAGTGAGACTTCCTTGGGAACACCCCCCACGTCAAGCCCTCCCCCCCACACCCTCAAAGGCCCCTTACCTGGGTCATCCTCATCTCGGGGCACCTTCTTGAAGCAGTCGTTGAGTGACAGGTTGTGGCGGATGGAGTTCTGCCAGCCGGCCTTGCTCTTGTTGTAAAAGGGAAAGTTGTCGGCCACGTATTGGTAGATCTGGCTGAGGGTAAGGCGCTTGTCGGGGGCCCCGTGGATGGCCATGGCAATGAGGGCCGAGTAGGAGTAAGGGGGCCGCACCAGCTTCATCAGCTCCTCCTGCGAGGGGATGGGCAGCCAGCCCAGGTCGCCGCCCCCCAGCCCCGGCATGGTGGGCAACAGCTGTCTCTGCATGCCGTAGGCCTGCGGCAGGAAGGGGCTGGTGTTGGCCCCAGGCAGGTAGGGTGGCGGGGTCATGGTGGGCCCGTTGAGCCACAGGTAGGTGTTGGAGGGGGCCCCGTACTCGCCACCCGCCTCGAAGGAGGGTGGCCGCTGAGGGCTGGGCACGCCCTGCGGGTGGAAGAAGTTCTCATAGTACAGGTTCATCTCAGGAGGCTCCTGGCCGAGGCTGGGGAACTGGGGGCTGCAGCGAGGTGGGGAGGGTGCTGGGAGGTCAAAGGAGCTCATGCTGGAGCTGGCCTGGCCGAGCCACCTGCCTGACACCTGCTCTGGAGCTGCCCCAACAGGTGCTCGCAGGCCCCGGCCTCCCACTTATACCCCGAGGGCTTGGCCACGGCCCCACCCAGGGGCGGCCACCTGCCCGCAGCAGCCCAGGGCCCGCCCTCCCTCCACCGCCAGCCTGCAGGGAGGGGACGGGTCCCCACTAATGACTCGCTGAGCCAGCTTCCTAGAACTGAGTTACACACCAAGGGCCCCCTCTTGCCTCCCCTCCCTCCATTTCCCGTTCCCTCTCCTCTCAGGTCTTTCTCCTAGGCACGTCCCTCGGAGGCCGCCCCATCCTGTCTTGTATTGTCTCTTTTTTTCTTTTTCTTTTTCTCACATTGTTTCTACTCTTCTCACTTTCCTTCTTTCCCTTCTGCTTTCTCCCTTCCTCCCTTCCTCTTCCTTCCTTCCTTCTTTCTATCTTTCTTTCCCTTCTTTTTGCCTCTTATTTTTTCTCTCTCTTCTGCTCTGGACTGCCTTTGTTTTCTATGCACTACCCAGGCCAGTGCACACTCCTCATTCTCTCTCCTTCTCAATCTCTCTCTCTCTCCCTCTGTCTCTCTTTCTCAGTCTCTCAATCTCTCTCTCTCTCTCTCTCTCTCTGTGTGTGTCTCTTAGTCTCAATCTCTTGCTCTCTGTCTCTCTCTCTCAATCTCTTTCTCTCTCCCCCTCCTGTCTGTATGTGTTTCTCTCTCTTATTCTCAATCTCTCTCTCCTTCTGTCTCTCTCCCTCTGTCTCTCTCCCCCCTCTCTTCTACTGCTATTCTCCTTTCTCTCTCTGTCTCTCATCTTCTGTTCTTTCCACTGCTGTCTCTCACTGCCTTCCTTCCTCAATATCTGTCTTCCCTGGCTTCTTCCCTTCTTCCTTCCCTCTCATGGTCTCTCTTCCTCTCCACCGCTCATGTTCTCTGGACCTCTCCTCTCCTTCCACTCACTCGGTCTCCCATTTCCCCGCCCCCACCCCCACCCTGACACCTCATTCTCTGGTCAGTTGCCCCCACCCACACTGGATGAGACACTTGATCAGAAGCCCCACTGGGCAGTGTTTTGAGGTGAAGACACACTTTCTGGGGTTGCCAGGGAAAAAACAGCCCTGGAGACTCAGAAGTAACCACAGAGGGGCCTGCCTGGCCTCTGGCAAGTTTCAGAAGGGCAGCTCTCCTCCTGCCCCAACACACACATCCATGCATGCACACACCCACACGTGTGTACACACTCACACGCAGCAGGCAGGCAGAGAAGCCGGGAGAGCAAAAGGGCTTTTAAAAGTGTCGACAGAAGGGGAAAATGGGAATCGGACTTGAGGGAAAACAGGAGCAAGACCCGGAACGACTGAAGTTTCTTCTTGGCTGCAGGGGCGAGGCAACCTCTCCGCTCTTCCTCTGGTCCAAAGTCCTTTTTGGTTCTGCTCGCAGGGGTCTCTGGCATGGTGGGAGCAAAGCCAAGAGGAGCCACTGACTCACGGCTCCCCTTGCACCATCTCTCCCTCCAGTAGCAGGATCTCCTGCCTGTGGCTTCTCCCTGGGTTCCGTCCTCCCTCTTGTCCCAGCCTCCTCAGTCTCCCAGGCTAGGGGCTGCTCTGCTTGGGGAGTGGGCAGGGGTCTCCCTTTTCAGAGGTGGGTAGGTTCTGATAGCAGCCAAAACTTCTCTCTGCAACCAAGCTGATGGGGAACGTTGGAGTCAGCCTCTCAGGTCACCACCTCCCCCCTGCCCTCTTGTCTCAATTTCCTTCTACCCATTCAACTCCCTCCTGTGTCCTCCAGGTCCCATGTTTCTTTGAGGCCAGAGAAAAAGGTCGCTGACAGTCCCAGTTGGAGGGGGGGTGCCAAGGAATTCTCCCCTCTCTCTGCTCTTCGCAGCTGTGGGGATGCTTGTGGCAAACAGGAACACTATGGAATGAATTTCACTGTCAGTGTGTTGGTGCCCAGAGGATGAGTTCCATGTAACTGGGTAGCAGGGGTCTTCCCAGGCCCTGAGGAACCACCTGTCCCCAGCATGGAGCAGTGATGAAGTGTGATTCTCTAAAAGGGTCTGATGGCCCAAGGGAGGCTTGGGGTGAGCACACGTTGCAGAGTAAAGCCAAAGGACCAAGTTATGCCTTGGAGTTTCTCTACCAAGAGGCATGGCTTGCTGAGAGGGGAGCCCTGACTTTTCAAAGAATAATCAAATTAGAGCATCCCAACCCCATCCCTCGATACAAACCCAAAGCCTTACAATTAACCTAGCAAGTCTACTTTATCAAACCTCATCTTACAGAATTAAACAGAGCAAAGAATTAGCTACAGGGATGTTTGCTGCAACATTGTTTATGGCCCTAATAAATTGTAATTAATCTGAATGTCCAACAATAGGGGATCGGCTAAATAAATTATGTATTATCCAAATGATGTAATATTATGCACCTATGAAAAATAGATTGTAGAATAATAATTAATTATAGGAGAAGATGTTTATAATCACATGATATTCTTTGGAGAAACCTGTTGCAAAATACTATTTTGGGGGGGTAAAAATGTATACTCACACATCTATATGAAACCCAGAAATATAAATATAAAGCTGTCAGTTACTATTTCTGAATGGAGAATTGGATGTGGTTTTTGTTGTTTTTCTGCAGTTTCTAAGTAATTAGAAAAAGGCAGGCACCCAGGTGATTTGCTTTGGGGGTTAAAAAGAAAAGACCAGAAAGAGGCAATAGGGAGGTAGCCAATCTGAGTTCAGGAGGACCAGGCAGCAAATCTCAGGCTTGGTGCTGAGTAACTATGCAGACCTTGACAGGTCACTGAGCTTTCCTCAACCTCAGTTTTCTCAGGTGAAAATGGGAATGATGACAATAAAATGGGGGCTACAAATAGAACCTGTACTTAACTCATGAGGTTGTCATAAGCATTCAGTGAGGTGGTCAGCGTAACCAATGTAAGTCATTTCACACGGTGCATAAGGTCTCTTGCAATAAGCATTCCTTTTTTTAGATTTGAAAATGTAGTTTAATTAGAATGTAAACTGGAGAAAGAGAGAGAGAGGAGATTCACCTCCCCAAGGTCGGGGAGGGCGCCAAAGCTTAGGAAAACATGGTGGCCATAGCTCAAAGAGTCACATGGCCAGACCAGAGCTTAGCAAAAGCAATGGCCAACATTCTTTACTATTCTATGTTGTAGTCAATATCCACCTGCTCTGTGTGCTATCTAGCCCATCTGAGTTTGCCACCCTACGAGTTCATCAATACCTTTTGACAGCCTGTGCACGGGGGAGGTGTGGTAGAGTGACCAGGATGAATGGAGAGAGGAGAATTCAGGTAAGACACCGATAGTATAGCCAGACCCTGCCCCTTGCAGGTGACAATCAGAGAGAGCCCAGAGACGCACAAGTTCATGACTGAGCTGGGGCAGGACCTGGTGTCCTGATCTTGCTCTGTCCCACTTCCCCTGTCTCTGGGTTCTCCCTCCTCAAGCTCTCTGAGGCAGGCTCACTGTGTCTCCCAGGCTGCATGTTGCCTCACCTGGGGGGTCAGAGATAGCCTGGCCTGTCTCAGGAGCCGTGTCATGCCAAACCTCCAGCACTCAGATCCCCATGGCTAGAAGTCCCAGCCTCCCTGCACTTGGCCACAGGATTAGTTAAGCCTTCAGGGCAGGGTGTCCAGAGCTGCTTGAGGGCGACCCTCAGCCCAGATTTTCAAGAACAACAGATGCCATCCTTGGGGTGGGCAGCAAGAAATGCCTATTCTTATCCCACCCCCAGGGAGGTTTGGGAGTTTTGATCCTGAATTCTCCAGATCAGTTCCAGGGTTTCTGGGAAAAGGATCCAGTGTCTCCATCGATCAAGGTCATGTTGTGGATGAACTTATTTCAGATTTCTTGAAATTTCCAGAAGTAAAAATTCAAAGCTGAGACAATGTGCTCTGCTCAACTTCAGGGAAAAATAATAAAATTATAGAAAATAAGAGTTGGGGCACAGGGCCTGAGCCAGCCTAGGAAATGCTTGAGCTGTAGTTTGCATGCTATCATCCAGAGGGGGACCTTCTTGAAAGAGAAAGATCTTGTGTTCTGAGCCTTAGTTGGGATATTTGCAACAAAGCAATAGAACGTGTAAAACATGGGCTTTGGGATTGGATGGAACTGGGTTCAAATTCCGACTTCGCTATTTGAGAGCTGTGTGATCTTGGCCAAATCTCTTAATCTCGCAAGGCCTCCGTTTGCTTATCAAAAAAATAGGGGTATAAATAGAACCTGTCATGGGTGAATTTTGAAGGAAAAAATAAAATTATATATATATATATATATATATATATAGTGTAAAGCCCTGGGAAAGCTTAGATAATGAGGATGATGAAGATGACAGGATACCCTCAGGCCAGGTACTGACAGGGGTGGTGGCTCTGGGCAGGAGGCAGCATCACAGCCTCCTCCAAGTCACATTGTGCCATTGGCTTTCACCTTGGGAAAGTCTTGACATTTGAGGGCCAGAAAAGGAGGACAGGCCTGCCACTCCTTTTAGAGCACGTGCCCAGCAGTTAGCTGTAGACATTGCTGGGTCCAGAAGCCAACGCCAGCCCAAGTCCTGCAGAAAGAATGAATGCACACAGGCCCCCCAGTCAGACCATGATCAGCCCAGGCTGTCCCTTCTGGCCTTGACTTTCAGGGGTGGAGAATCATGTTCTTCTGGAAATCTGATCTCAATTCATTTGCCTGGTGGGGGCTGATGTGCATTTTTACATTCACTCCTTTAGTTCTCTGGACCATAGTGCACAGTACGAATTCTGTTTCTCTACTTCAAATTGAGGAAATGGGAACGGGGAGAATGACTGACCACAGGGACAAAGGGAGGCAGTGGGGAGCTAACCTGGCTGCCATTCACTGGGGCTGTGACCCTGGTGCCAAACTTACCAGATCTCAATCCTGCCTCTACTTCTTAGGCACTAGGATACCTTAGCTAGCCACCAATTGTTCTGGGTCTCAGTTTTCTCATTGTAAAATAAGAAAAACGATCTCATTCCAAGTGTTGCTTTGAGGACT